TCAAGATCAACTTGTTGCTTAAAACTTTTAGCGACAAGCTTTGCTTTATATTTATCTATAGTTTCATCCGGTATAAGTTTTTTACGACGGACCCATTTACACCCAGTAGTTTTACAACCTGGAGGTAAATTCACTAGCTTCCATATTTTAATTGAAAGTAGTGAATCTATCTCATCATTTACAGCCTCTTTCTAGAAAATAGCATCAGGTGATGATAAAACTTCTTGCACCGTAAGAGGAATTTCTTTCACATTGTAAAGATAGTAGTCATAGTCAAAATCTTTTTCAACTCTAGCTCGTTTACTCTTCCTTGGTTGAATTTGAGAATTTTCTTGTTCTTGAAAAACTTGAGATGGAGTAGAAGAGCTGGGCACGGATAAAATATTTTCAGAAATTATTTGACTCCTACTATTTCTAGATTTGAAAGGAAATTTATTTTCATGAAAAATAGCATCACCTGATTCAAAAATAATATTATTTTCCATATCACAAAATCTATAGGCTGTACTAAGCAACGCATACCCAAGAAAAGCACAGGTGGTAGCTTGTTCACCCAATTTAGGTCGTTCAGGATCTGTAAGCCTCACAAAAGCTAAACAACCCCAAACCCTTAAATAACTTAGATTTGGTTTATGCCCCCGCCACAACTCATAAGGTACAATTTTAGACTTTTTGTATGGAACTCTATTTATTACATGACAAGCTGTCAAAATAGTCTCACCCAAAGATTTGAGGGAGCACCTGAATCAATAAGCATAGTATTCGTCAAGTCAATTAACGTTCTATTTTTTGTTTCAACTATGCCATTAGATGAAGGTGAATATGGTAGAGTAGTCTCATGAATAATTCCTAATGACTGAACAAAAGAGTTGAATCCAAGAGATTCATACTCTCAACCTCTATCACTTTTAATTCTCTTAATCTTTTTACCGATTTGATTTTCTACTTTAAGAAGGAATTCCTTAAATTTCTCAAAAGTATCACTTTTATTTTTTAATAAATATAAGTTTGTGTATTTTGAAAAATCATCAACAAAAGTGATAAAATATCGGTAACCACCTCGAGTTAAAATTCCTTCAAACTCACACAAATCAATATGAAATAATTCTAGCAATTCGGTATTTTTTTTCAACACTTTTACGAGGCCTCTTGGTAATTTTCGCTTTACTACAAACTTCACATTTCTCAAATTTTTTTGTCACTTTAGGAATTAATCCTAAATTACTCATGATTCCCACATATTTACTGCTAGTATGACACAAGCAAGCATGTTAAAAATTAATAGAAGACAAAGTATAAGTGGTGTCATAGTAATAATCATAAAATTAATCAGCAAGGCAATTTAAGAGATAAAAATGACATTTATACTCATCTGCATTATATGAAGCCACTTTTCCTTCATGGACCTTGTAGTCTTCATCATTCATCTCTTCGGTTGGGATTTTGTTTGGGTTATTCTCGGTAAGAACATATGCAACTTTCAAAAGGCTGAGGTAAAAAAGAACTTTCCTTTTCACCTCTTGAAATGAACTCCCTTAAATTTGAAAGATTTGTTGAGATCTCCAATTCTATCATTGGTTTTTTCTGGTGCTTGTTTCATGTTTGATCTTCTTAAAATTGTTGGTGAAAATATCAAAAAAAATTATATTTTATTGATGAATAATGCAAAGAAAATGAGATACAAATAGATCAAGTTGAGGCATTGATATCTCATTTTCTTTAAGGAGATCAAGCCCACTACGGTAGGAAGAACCCAAATACCGATGCAGCAGTCACAAAACTATACTTGTTCCCTCTAGGATACAACACCCTGACCACTTGTCGCATAGTTTAGGCCAACTCTGCACAAGATGGTGAACCCAAAGCTCCACCAAGAAAAACGTCATTCTTTGCTAGTAATCTCTCTTGTATAGAAAATAGTTTGTGTGTTAGTGTAGAAAAGAGTAAAAGAGAACTATTTATAGGCCACTAGGACATTACAAAATATATCAAAAAATAATAATGACCAAGAACCTAGAGAAAAAGGGAGAGTATATCCAAATATTAACTCACAACCAAGTTCATGAAATCTAATTAATCTCCATTCATGAACAACACAAAAGGTCGTCAAAGCAATGAATCTCCATTCATGAACAAAATGAGATTCATGAATAAAATAAAAGAAAATTCATAAACAAAAATATAAATAAATGAATAAATGATATTAAAATGGTCCAACACCACCTAAGCCACCCTTTCTGGTGCATAGCCTAAGATGCTCCTTGTGCCCTTTCTAAGCCGCCCTCTGGCGCATTCAGTCGTTTGTTTCCATCATCATTCAGCACTACATCATAAGTTATGTGTGTGCCACACTTGCTGTTTCAACATTCATTTTCTGCATCAGTCTGGCATGACCCCTTTAAACTGTCCCAACATTGATTCCAATTAACTCTTACATCGGTTCGACATGACCCCTTTAAACTGTCTCGACATTGATTCCGATTAATTCCTACATTGGTCCGACATGACCCCTGTAAACTGTCCCGACATTGATTTCAGTTAGTTCCTACAATGGTTCAACATGACCTTAAATTGTCCTGGCATTAGTTTCAGCCAGTTCCTAAAATGATCCAACACAACCATAAACTATTTCCTGACATTAGTTCCAGCCTCTGATCTATTTCAAGCGCCATTGCGCTCCCGTTCGAATTTTCCATCTATTTTCAAAGATGGAAAACAAAAATTGATATGGAAAATTTATTTGGTATTTTTTGACAAAAAATTCAAATTATATGTACTTTCTCAGATTTTTTTTTTTGAATTTTCAAAAAAAATACATACGAAAATTTTTTAAAAAAATTAAAAATTGTTGTTATGGAACTTCATTTTTTTTTTTTTGCTTACGATAACATACAAATGAAAAAAATACTTAAAAAATGATGCCAAACAAGGATTGAGTGTTTTTGTAATTCCTCTTTCCTCACATGTCTAATTAATCAATTCAATAGTAATTATTCAATAAAAAAAAATAACCTTTCGATCTCCAAGTTCTTGTTTCTTGGAAAAGAAAAATTGATTATTTATTAGGGTTAACCAACTCTTCGCCATAAAGCTGGCATGAAAATATTGGCTTTGATGAGGGCTGTAGGCTTACCCAACACAAATTGATATTGTTGATCTAATTTTATAATTTTTTTTATTATACTCATAAATACGTTGGACCTGTCTTCTGTTACAATAATTATATTTTTATATTATATTTGATGTGCGAGTTGTTATCATAAATCTAGATTATTTATCCCTTTAAATAATGTTATATGTACTAATTAGTATATTAATTAATATATCAATTGATAATGTGATATAATTTAAGAAATTTTTGATATTATAATGAATAATACTATATGTACTAATTAATGTACACACTAGTGTAATAACAGATTATATGACATCATTTGTATGGTTTTAAATATTTATAACTTGTATAATAAATATGGTTAATAATAATATCATAACACTAGTTGGTACATCAGTGTATACTAATTGGTGCATTTAGCAATAGCGATTTGTAATTTGTATAATGAGTGCGCTCAATAATAACATCATGACTAATGTTTGTACCAATTGATGATGTGATATATTTTAAAAGGTTTTTGATATTTATAATTTATATAGGGTTTGTTTGGAAAGTGGATTAGCTTTTTGGTTATTTTAACCTGAACTAAAAAATCTCGTTTGGGATAGGATTTTTAGTTTTTTTGACTTTTTGTGAGAGAAATAATGTAATGATTATGAGTTGGATATGATGTTTTATCTTATTGAATTAAAAAGCTTATTTTGTCTTTTTATGACTAAAATAGTCCCAAACCCAACCTAACACATCTTCACAAATAAAGTCATAATAAGTGAAATCAATAATAATATCATAACTAGTATTAATACATTAATTAATATATTAATTAATATATATAATATTATTTATATTAATTAATACACGTAATACTACCGTATCCTTTTTCATACTCCCTCCTTTATTTTCTTAAATTTGCATAATTTTCAGGGCTACAAGTAAATTGATAGCGGAATCAAATAGCTCGCCAAAAATGGCCAAAGACAGCATGCAATGAGTTGGCCACATGGAATGTTATTTATATGATGTTCGCATTGCTTCCATCAGCAAGAGTGATTATTGGGCATCATTTATTACTTGATTTATGTGAAATTATTTTTCAAAATTTTAATAAAAAATATTGAGTTCTATAGCTTTAATCAATAAAAATCAAGGCCACCATATAAATTTACCTCAAGGCCATCACATAATTTTTTCATCACTTGTATATATTATTTATTGTTCTTAGGTTAGATAAGATACTATCTGAACTTATTTTTTATTGATTAAAATTATGAGATTTATCACTTTTATGTTATTTTTTGAGAAATAACTTATTTTAAATGGAATGAAATAATATTTTAAGGCCATTAAATAATTTCTCCTATTACTAAATAAATAGGAATTGCAATATTTTATTATTATTATTTTTTTTTTGGGGAACCCATGCATGCGTTAGTTGGCATTAAGATATGAAAGGCCGATATGGGTGAAAAACTTGCAATGGCATGCATCTATTAGTGTTAATGTAAATGTAAATTACTACTACACACTCCACCAAACCTACCTCCACCACTCACTCCTCTACACCTACTACTCCCAAAACCTCTCTATATATAGGACTTGTAATATACAGATACATATAACAACACATCAATCTTGTAATAACAACAATCTTGTAATCAATCAATCAATAATAATACATCAGTTATTTTACATGGTATCAGAGCTATAGGTTAAGCTCTTGGTGTTCTTCGCCTTCCGGCGGGCGGCAACCTTGCCTTGACCGCCCGCCGGATCTCAACCAATTGAAACCTCCATCAACTCCAGCAAGAGGCTCACAGGATAATAATATACATCAATTTATTTTTACATGGTATCAGAGCCAAGTTAAGCTCTTGGTGTTCTTCGCCTTCCGGCGGGCGGCAACCTTGCCTTGACCGCCCGCCGGATCTCAACCAATTGAAACCTCCATCAACTCCAGCAAGATGCTCACAGGAAATGATCCATACCAACAAACATCGATCGATACGAGCTAGGATATTCTCAGATGACATGATCACCACGGGTATTTCTCTCAAAGTCGATGACTCCTTCTTGAGCAATTCATATCCAGTCATTCCAGCCATTGAATCCGACGGAGCTCTTCTCTCCATCCAAACCGAGATACTGCAGAGCTCTGCTTCCACTCTCCTCTTCTCCATCCTCTGCATCGGCGTCTTCTCCGTTGCACACTCCGCTCACTCCCACTCTCACGTCGCCGCTCCGGCGCCGGCCGTCGACTGCACCACCCTGGTCCTCAAGATGACCGACTGCCTCTCCTACGTCACCAACGGCAGCACCGTCAAGAAGCCGGAGGGAACTTGCTGCTCCGTCCTCAAAACGGTGCTCACATCTAACGCCGAGACGCAGCCGCGGCCATCCGACGGAGCCCAAGGCTCAGCCGCCGCCTGACGCGGAAGAGGCTTCCCCGCCCTCCGAAATCTACTGAATCCATTGGCTCCGCCGCCTGCAACGAAGAAAGCGAAGACTGATGCTCCGGCGGCTCCGCCACCTAGTGGAGAGCGGAGAGGGAGAGGACGGCCACCAAAGGTCAAGCCCGAGAGAGAGAGAGAGAGAGAGAGAGAGAGTTTGGAAAAAACAAAAGTGGTTGTAATAAAAGCTTATCATATTGTGTAAAATGGAAAGTGATTTATATTCATAAAATTTATAAAAATATATATATTCAAAATGACTTTTGTAAAAATAATGGAGCCTATATTTGGGAAGTTGGATTTGAAGATTTTTTTGGGTTAAAATAGTCACAAAAAGTAAAATAGACCTTTTAACTTAATGAGACAAAACATCAGATCCAATCCATAATCATTACATTCATTCTTTCACAAAAAAAGTCAAAAAAGTTAAAAGTCCATCCCAAATCAGATTTTTTAGTCCAAATTAAAATAGTAAAAAAAAACTAAAAAGTCAAAAAACTAACCAACTTTCCAAACGAAACCAAAGGCAATAATGAATATTTTAATTAAAAATAAAATAATATTACAATAAATCCTCTCATTTTATAAAAAAATTCTGTATAAAAATTCTGTTTGTGTATATCATTACTTGTTTTAAATTGTGACAGTAATGTTATGCAGGCATAGATTAGGGTCAATAATGATGCCTAAACTAAATACGTCATTATGAGGATTCAATTGATGAATCTTTGCATGATTAGATAGTTAGAGCATCTCCAATGGTTTGTCATTGGAGCTGTCATTGCTATATATAGCAGCTGCTATTGAATTTTGATGCTTCAATGGCAAAACATAGCAGCTGTCAAATTTGAGAAATGCCAAAGCTTGTGTCAAATTTGACACAAGCTTTGGCAGCTGCCATTCATGCCAACTCAGCCAAAACCAACGGTTTCCCTCCCTCCCTCCTTCCTTCCCTCCCTCTCTTCATGCCAACTCAGCCAATTCATCAAACAGATTCACAGAAAAAAAATTATTATCTGTTTGTCAATTTGATTCATCAAACAGATTCACAGAAAAAAACAAATCCAAAAAAATTACAGATTCACAGATTCATCAAACAGATTCAAACAAATCCAAATCCAAAAAAATTACAGATTCATCAAACAGATTCACAGAAAAAAAACCGATTAATTCACAAAAAATTGAATTGATGAATTAAAAAACCAATCAATCCGTTTGAGAAGATCGGGGTAGAGATGAATGAAATGAAAACAAAAATTTAAAAATAATCAACCAGGGCGTAAACTGATTAATTCACAAAAATTAAAAAATCGGTCAAAAATTAAAAAAAAAAACTGATTAATTCACAAAAATTAAAAAAATGATGGAATGAAATGAAGACCTTTGAGAAGATCGGGGTAGATATGAAGGGCGCAATGGATCAACCAGGGCTTGAGATCAGTGGAGAATCTGTTTCACTACTCTGCTGGAAAGATCATCAGTGGAGAATCTGTTTCACTACTCTGCTGGAAAGATCGGGCTTGAGAATCAGTGGAGAGATCAATGGCGTAATGGATCAACCAGGGCTTGAGATCAGTGAAGACCTCTGCTGGAACTCGCACTACTCTACTGGAAATCGGGACTGAACTCGAAATCGGGACCGAGATCAGTGGAGAGAGATCGGCTTGGTTTGGGTTTGATTTGGAAGATTTGAGGAGAGGAGATGAGAAATGAGGAGAGAAAGATGAAGATCAGTGACGGCAATGAAGGAAAGGAGAGAGAGAGAGAGAGAGAGAGAGAGAGAGAGAGAGAGCTTGGTGTATAGATAGATAGATCCGACTCAAACAGGAGGGTATATACATAGATAGATAATGCACGGATTGTTCTAGATAGATAGATGGATGAGCCGTCGGATCATATAATCCAACGGTGCTATTTTGAGAAAGGAGTGCACATGGGTTTGAGCAACGGCTCTTTTTCATCCTTTTTCAAACAACAGATATAAATTAACGGACATTTTTTCCAAACGGTCATATTCTGTATTTCTATAAATAAAAACTCTTCATCTCAATTTCATTTCACACCAAACATTTTAAATTTCATTTTTCTTTTCTCTTCTCTTTATCTGAATTTTATTTTACACCAAACTTCACAAATTATTTTCTTCTTTGTTTTTTCACACAATCACTATGGAAGGTTCATCAAAAATGAAGAGAGGAAAATCATTTACCACTTAAGAAGATGTGGCAATTTGTAGAGCTTGGTGCCACATTACTGAAGACCCAATTGTTGGGAATTCACAATCTCATGCTCATTTTTTGGGAAGAATTTTTGAAAATTATTGTTCATTGCAGAATGATCGCTCAAGAACACAAGTGTCTATCTCATCTCGATGGGGTGTAATCATGAAATGTTGTACAAATTTCGTAGGTGTCTAGCGCAAGTCGAAAATCTACATCCAAGTGGGGCGTTACAAGTTGATATAGTAAGATTTCATTTTCATTTATTATGTTAGTTTTTTTATTTGTCTTACATAAAAATTAACTGATTAATTAATTTAATATTTAATTGATATAGATACTTCAAGCAAAACTGTTATACCATCAAGATGAAAACAAAAATTTTCTTTTTGAACATTGTTGGCCAATCTTGCAAAACAATATTAGGTGGCAAGATGTAACTCCTACGAACACGGTGAAGTCAAGAATACATACATCGTTTTTCCCTAATTCAACCCCTGATTCTCCTATAGATAACTGCATTTCTCTTGAAGATGACACCAGTCCAAGTGTTGGTAACAATCCAACTGTCGGTGAGGGCAGTGTCTTTGCAAGGGGTAAAAGGCCGATGGGTAGGAAATCTGCGAAAGAATTATTTCGAAAAAATCAAGTCGCTCAAGCTGAAGTTCAAAAAATGGGCACAGAATTGGACACATTTAACCAATACCTTGCTGAAAATGAAAAGAAAAAAGAAGAAAGAGAAGAAAAAATGATTCAAGCACTGTAGGAGATGAAAGAACTTGAGATGAAAAAACATGAGTTTGAGATCAGAAAACAAGAACATGAGATGAAAAATGAAGAACATATGATAATAACTACGGATATTTCTCATTTGGACCCTCAGATGAAAGCGTATTACACAATGCGAAAAAATGAGATTTTCGCCAAGTGGTCCTCAAATGTGAGCAGCCCACATTTTTATTTCCCCTTACCTCCTGATGAATAATTATAGGATAAATGTTAGTCTTTATTTTTTGCAATATCATTTATTTTTTAATGTAATTTTTAGTCTTTATTTGCAATGTAATTTTTATTTTGTAATGAAATTTCATTTTTTTTTTGAGTATTTTGTACTTCATAATGTAATATTATTTTTTCAATGTATAATGTCCACTAATTTGTATTATAATTTAATATTTTCAATAAAGTATAATGCAAAAAAATAAATATATTTTTTCAAATGAAGGCAATAAAAAGATAAAATACTTTAGCTGATATTAAATGAAGATAATTTTATTATAATAAAAAGACATTTAATATAAATATATAATTTTTTTCAATTTTTCCAATTTTTCATTTTTTTTATATTTTTTATATTTGTCTAGTTGGGAAAAATATAAATATATAATTTTTTTAACAAACAGGTAAAAAAAGTCACAAAAAGACAAAAAATAAACAAAAATAAATAACAGAAAACCTATATCCAAACAACACCTACAACCTTGGAGGGAAAGTTGGTTGAGATTTGCCAAAGATAACAAATGACAATTGGAGCACCATTGCTATAATTTGACAAAATAACACTTTTTATTGTCAAATTATAACAATAACAATAACAAAATAACAACTATCATTGGAGATGCTCTTAGGTGAGCAAATAACAGCTGGAAGGGCATTAATTGGCTCTTTTATTCTAATTTTAATTTTTTTTTAAACTATACAAATTATTATTTTTTAATTCATTGACATGACACTCACTAATAAATTTTAAAATTTAAAACAAAATTTATAACGTCTTAATAATTGATTAGCCAACAACTTCAATAAAGTGAATCTATCAATACGACAAAAAAACTAAAGCCCAAGTTACTAAACTTGCAAATTACAATTGGAGCCAAATTGCTTTGCCTGGCTTTTCAACAAACAAATCACGTTGCTTTTAATAGATAATTATTATATTTTTGAGTTATATAAACAATAAAAAATTAAAAAATTCAAAGATATGCCGAAAAAAGAAAAATCAAAGGCATGTTCTTGGGTCATATTTTTCTTTTGATTTTCACTTATATATGATGGGTTAGAAATTGGGCGTCTATGTGACATGATCATTTGAACCTTTTGAATTTGAACCTTTTAAACTTTATGCATGTAAGTTTGAATTTGAATTTAAAATTTATTTGAATAACCATTCAGAATATCTATATCTATCATATCAATAGATATGTATAGATGGATAGATAGATATTAGTTGTTATATCCGATTATATTTTATATATAATATATTTAATAGATCAGATACGTATATCAGATAAACGTTATGTGGTTTTTACCCATAACCTTTTTTCCTAGACTCTCTCTCTGATTCTCTCTCAGAAAACAACGATCAAGCCATTTTGCACTGTGACTTGTATGGGTGATACTCATTTTGTAGTATCACTCCACTGCTGGGTTCGTTGTTCAGATTTTGGAAGCACGTGATTTACCCACGAGATTGTGTCATTAAGGTATGATCCGAATTATTTTTATTCGCTGCGTTAATTTATTATGCTTTATGATTTACATCGGTATCAGAGCTTATATGGGTTTTTTCGTGTTTATTTTTTATGCATTAAAATACGTGTATTTTTTTTATATAAATATATACACATTATATGCATGAAAATTAATAGAGGAGGAAGATGAAGTGCACGATTTTTTGCACTTTAGCTCTCATTAATTGAGAATGTGATACACTTCATTTTTATGTTCATTAAATGCTATTTTTAATGCCATAAATGTTTTTATTGTGAAAAATGGAGTCCGACAGTACAAAAATCGAACCAGAAAACACCTTGGAAGGCGGAGCGTGGGCCTCACGTGCCACCTAACGCCGTGGGAAGCTTCCACGCGCCTCTACGCGCTGCCACGCGCCTCCGCGCGCTCTTAC